CTTTGGCTATATATTTCAATTTCAGGATAAATTACTTTTCTGCTTGCCTATAAGGTATATCAAATCATGAGATTGATTTGAAAAATGTACGGAGACAAGAAAATGATTGTCAAATAAGTATTGAACTGTAACGCAATAGATCAGTACTGGCGAAACAATTCGATTAACGTAAATTATATTTACTGAGCTAACTAAAAGGAGAGAGAGAGAGAGACAGAGGCAAAATATGAGTAAAATTGGTGATGCGACAACGACCACTTGTCGAATAATTTTCGCGCTCAAGGTGGATAATTGCCTAAACAAGTTGAAGCCACAAGGACGACGACACGAGCGCGACGCTCTCACGCATCGCAAGTATGCAAAAGTTGGCGAGCTTGCATATTCATGGTGTACGTGCGTATGCGTCAACGCCGCGGGCATATAATCGAGACGAGAGAAATCGTGGAAAAAGTGTTGCCTTTGAAAGATGCTATGTGGTTGATATTTTTTTCTCTATTCTTTGAATGAGTTACTTATTATTTTTATGGTTCGCGCATATTTTTACGCTTGCTTTCACTGCAAAGGTCGTTGCACAAATAAAGAATTCAAAGGACGTGTTACTTTATTGGCAATAATGTCAGTGGAAACACTAATGTTTCTCAACTGCCTTGAATATGTTTAGGGGGTCAAGAAAAGGAATATTACGCTTACATGTGGCTTCGGAGGAATTCCCGTGATATCCTCGTGACTGTGAGTGCGTCCTCTAGATTAGTAGTTGTGAGAATCAAAAGTTTATTCACGAGAATCATCATATTATTAAAAAACTTTCATGGCGTCTTCTGTTCCTTTTCAACAGCACGCTTCGTAAATTTCGTGAAAAATGAAAAAGAAAAACATCCTCATGGTTTCTTCAAGTAACGTGCAAAACCCATAACGTTCTCCATACAAAGCACCTGTTTACCTCTCCACTAGCGACGAGCTCCGTAGAAAATTAAGAATTTAGACGCGGAATCAGAACGCGCGATGTCTCAGTCATACGAATGAAATATTGTTATCGCCTCCGCAGCGAGGCGCCTAATGTCTTTCCGATACGTCGACGCTCCAAGAGCGAGGCAAAAAAAAAGATACGAAGAGATGCGCTTTCCGTAACTACATACACGTGCTCCGTGGAATTTCGATTTCCGCTCAACTCTCTACTCGGATTGCCCTGCAATATTACCATTTCTGCCGGTAGACTTTAAAAATTAAAGGAGAAAGATTCTAAAATCGAGGACGATAGGACTATGTGGTATTGGACATTTGACATTCTGGAATAAATTTGTGCGAAGTAACATTTTTTCAGAAATTAAATAATTTTTTCATCTCTTCGCAAATTCAATTTGAATTCATATCAGTTTTACTAAAAGACAGTTAAAATTTTCCAGTAATTTCATTCGTAATTTTTTCCTCTTCAAGGATCAATCTGTTTGCAATGAGCTATTTCGTTTGATACAATAAATGCTGGTACAGTAATTGCGTGTCTTTGATAATCTCAACACAATTGCACATGATCATTGTGTGTTTGTGCATCCGACAATGATGAATTATTTTCTCCAGTCAGTTTGAAAATCAATCCATAATCATACAAACTATCATTCAAATACAGGGCGGAAAATATTTTCAAGGTATGAAAATTTAATGATCTCAACGCGTGGCGTGAACTTTTCACGAGTCAATTTGTTCTAATAATAGTGTAAAAAAAATATGTTTGTCCTTCATTCAAATTTGTCCATCCTTGGCTTGTTTCAAAAGGTTGCAAATAGTTATTTTTGTAATTGTTTCAACATTTTTGTTACTTTTGAATAAATGCCGGCTACGCTTATTACAAACAAAACGAAATATTCGCGGGATTATGAAAAATCCTATTATTGAGGAGATTCTTCGGCAAACTACTATTTAATTTCACCTAATAAAAACGCCCACTTTAGTAAAAACTTATATAACAATCCATTGGTTCGTACAACAGACTGCAATCTTTCATCATCATCATCATCTGATCTCGAATCCTTGGAGCAGATAGACCTGCGAGTTTCAATCCGTCATCGCGTACACACACACACACACACACACACACACACACACGCGCGCGCGCGCGCGCGCACGCACGCACGCACACACACACACACACATACACACACACAATGATCTCCTCTGATCTTTATCCGGATGTGCGGGAGGTGAACGTTGCGTCACACCTCCACCTTTTTCGCAATACACGCGTGGGAGGTTCACTTTTATACTGGTAGCCGCGAGTGATAAATTGTGCCAAGCGAAGAGGACACGATGGGTTATTCATAGCCCGATTGTCACTAATTATTTTCTATTGCTATTGTGATAAATGATGGTTTTTTGTACGTGTGTGTTTTATTTTGAATAAGTTATTTAATTATCCTCACAGAGACAAAGTGCATGCCAATAGCTAAATTTTCGAAAACGAAGCGCGGAATCATCGTAATTCACGAAGCTATACGAGGTATAGAGCATATCTTTAAATTGTCGTGATAAATCACACGAATAAATTGATTGTTAGTCACCAGCATTTTCGAAGTAACGAGTAGGCTAATGAATCTTTGGCTAAGCTTTGATTCGCACAAAGCTTATGCGGAACTGAAAGTGTCGCTACTTGTGACGAATATTTGGAAATACGATACACATTATCTATCTTCGGTTCAGTGCGCGATGTACTTTGTGCTACCGTAATACCTGGGAGTGATTTATATTTTTGTTATACGACAAATTTTTTAATTTCTTGCGTCTACTTGATGAATTGTTCTAAGAAAACATTCATTACAGGAAGATTTTTATTAGCATTAATATCGAAATAAATCTCGCTGCGTTGTGAGAATAACTTCTCGAATTGACTATGATTTAGTTAAAAACAACAAAATAAAAATAAGATTTGTTCCAGAAACTCTTATTATTACCGCTAATTGGAACGTTAATCACATTCCTTTGCGAAATTGATATTCGATTGAACAAAAAATCTTGTTGCAAGTAATTGATGAAAAAGGCGATAAGCAATGGGATCCAATTGGCAACCCTATCACAGCAGTATTAAGAAAAAATAAGCAAACACACTTTCTCATCGAACACCTGCCGAAAGATCGCGCGCCTAATCGGTAAGCTATATCGCGCGCCCGCTTTTAAAACAATACAGTCACGGCTGGTTCGCGTGACGCTCTTATTTCCAAAGCCGGAAAAAAGACGGCTCTGGTAGAGTTTTCGTGTGGGAAACTATACTGTGCTCTTTCTCTTTGAGATTGCTATAACCCATCCGGTGTGAGTGTGTGTGTATATATCTGCGTGAGCTCTTTTAGCTTGGTCTTGTGGGATTTAGGTGGCCTGCTGGAGAAAGTGATGCCAAGACGCTTGGTTCTTGAAGATGCCGCGTGCACAGCGGCGAACGACGATGCGTATATCTATATAAATTGCCAGCGCTGCTTGCCTTACGAATTATTCAAATTTTTGTCGGCTATTGTGTTTGCCCGATCACTCTTGTGATTAACGTGCGATGATGCCTAGCTTTAGTTACGCTGTATTTAAGAGTACTAGTACTGCACTCGGCTGTTTTGTTTTTTTGTTACACTTTTCATTTTTCTCTATCTTTGTTGGATATTGTCAAATTTTACCGAGAGGAGAAAACTTTGAAGTATTACAAAAGTCAAGTAGTCTTTTCAACGTTTTTTAATGAAAATAGCAATGGAGCTCTTGCCAATTGCGATGACATATTACGTAATTATTTCAGTTAGACTCAAGATGTAGGCATTAAAATCTTTTGAAATTTCATTGCTGATCGACGAGAACGACCGCTTGAGTTTTATTTTACCAAGCGATTTATTGACTAATCAGCTTCTTTTTTTAATTACGAGAAAATCTCGTGATATTACAGCTTGGAAAATTATAAAAACAAGTTAAATTTCAAAATGTCACTTAAAGCTATGATGTTAATTAAGCATCCTTCAATGAGTTTTTAGGACGTTCAAAAGTCAAAATCACCGTTGAAATGTTCAATTGAGCTCGGCGATGAATCACACGAATTCAAGTGTCAAGTCTATATCGTAATCGTTTTCTGGACTTTCCAGCTTTTACTCGGAACCTGCTTATGGAAAAACAAGATATTACAGAGGTTTCGTATTCGATTGCCACTATAGAGGTTTTGCTGGTAAATTAGGTCTAAGCTTTTATTGCAACGTATTTCCTTTTTTTCCTGTAATTTGGAATCATTTCGATTTGATTAAATCAGTCTTTTATTATTGAATTTACTTTTCATCTTTTCATCCACAACGACACTTTTATTTCAATACGGTTGTGCTTTAATTTTCTTCTTCAAATGAGAACTCACACCTTAAGTTTTGCATGTGAGAATTTTAAATTATAATTTCTTCATAAGCCGTTTAACTTTAAATGAGTTCTTCAAGAAAATATCCTCAATTCCTTACAATAATTACTTCCATTAGGTGATCCAGAATGACAATTAATTACGAAATTGAGATGTCAAAAATTTTCTGCTAATTTTCGATCTGCGCGCATATTCCTTACCATTAATTCACCACGGCCTGTACAAAGAAAATTCTAATGTAGAGAGACGTTTCAATTGTGATAATGGAGGTGGGAAATATATCCATTTTTATAAGGACGTGCGACATCGCTTCTCAAGTGTCATAGAGCGTCGCTTAGCAAACATACTTGAAGAATATTGATTTATTTGAATTTACAAACCGTTTCACCTTATTACATATTCATACAAACTTTTACTTTTCAAATTTCATCGAATGGTAACCGTGGTATAATGTTAATTTACTTAAATTTTTGTGGACATCTTATTTTTATGTATTTTTTATAGAATTTTATAAAAATATCAGTTCTTTCGTATTCCAGTAGCGAGATGAAATTTTACTTTATAAGAAATGAACAAAACTTTTTAATTTGTCGTTAACTAATCATGCAAAATGTAATCGAAAATACACATACATCTACTACGATCGACGCAACCGTCAAGTAATATTTGAAAAAATTAAAAACATATTTCGTCTGTAATGGATCTTGATTAAGAATAAGTTAAGTTATCTAAGGCTCCATTGCAGTTTTGACATTAATACGGTATTGTATATTGAGAAATTTTGAGAAAATCAGCACAATTGGCACTGCAAAAAATTTCCAAAATCGATCCAATCTTTGAACGAAATATATTAGCAATCTGTCCGATAGGTATCACTACGTGAAACAAACAGTCACACTTATGGCAGCGCATGATAAACAAAACGGCAAATATTCTCGTAAACTTTCGTAACGAACGATTTCACCACACATACATCGTCAACAAACGAGAAGGCATTTCATTTAGCAGCAGAGTAAATATACATGATCCATTTCTGACGCCTCTGAAAAAAAAAATTGCACACCCGCTTTTCAGAATTTCGCAAAGCCACGAGATCTCACGTGCCATCTGTATACGTTGGTTGCTTCACTCAATAGGAGTGTACGTCTGGTGTGAGCCTAGAAAACGACTTATGCATCAGCCGCGAAAACGAGTTGGTTACACGTACTCGCACCTTTTCGGATGCTTTGAGGAAGTGTGAAAGAATTTCGCTTACGATCGCAAGCGAACCTTATCCTACGTACACGGCTTTTCAGGCCAGTGAGAGTTGCGTTAAGACTTCTTTTTTCAAATTCCAAACGACATGCACTGGTCCATATTTTTTTCAAAGGAGATCAGCGATCTTTTTGCGCACAAATTAGCTGACTTACTGGTATTTGCTATAAATTTTATTTACACCTACATTTTTCCAAATTTCATTGTACATTTTAAGCCAGTGAACTACGAGTTTATTTTGTTGTATTCTTTATTGAATTTCGTTTGTATTCGAATGATAAAGCTTTAACGTGAAAAACAAATATAATGTCATGATGAATCCGTAAATATTATTATTTTAAAAAACAAGTATTTAATAACAAACCAATCATCACTATCACAAAAAATGTATGACTAAAAATAGCTTGTAACTTGTAGATATTCGTAGAAAATCGGAGACAGGTGATGATTCATTTATCAATAGCAAAGCTAATAATACATTATAAAAAGTGACTAACGAATTTTTTCTAGAATATAATAATGAATATAAATATTTTGGGAACACAAAAGACCAGTGAGCAGTAGCAGTGTGCGTGCCTAGGATTGGATAATTTCGTCAGATAATGGCCAAACAACTCAATCAGAAAAACTCGCACTCGTCTACTGAAATGTGACAGTTGATCGGCTAAATGGAACGAGTTAAGATCACTCAATCGCCCACTTTTCGAAGTCGAATTTTCTTCTTGAAAAACGCCACTACAATAATTGCGCCAGTATGCCACGAACGGTCCAGCTGTGATAACATTGTAGCGATAACTTCGGTAAGTGTCTGGTTTTCGTATATATAAGCATTGATGCAGCATAGATTTGTTAAATTCAATATATGTCCTCCGATTGTCTGATAAGCCAATCAAACGGGGACAAATCTTCGGGAAAGACGTATCTAGAATATTGTATAATTGCTGCTGGGGGGTACATGAACTTATATCCTCTCGTAATTTATTACTTCTAGAAGCAGGTACTCGATCATTTGCCTTAAATTATCTACATTTATTTGCCAGTCGATATCACCCAAACTATTGAGTATTTCGAGCATTTGAATATCAGCCAAAGCAATTTAGTATTACATTTTAACGATTAATAAACAAATCACTGTTGCATAAGTAACACTCTCACTGCGGAATTATTTCCTTTCGGTTTTGTTAGTTGCATCATCAACAGCGTGACCGCAAAGCCATTGTTACATTGCGCAAAGTGTTTGCGAGCAAAAACTACTACAGTCTTTGCACTGGAAAGACAAAACCTTCGGACACACTGTCGGCCACTTTTTACTCTTTACCTTTAATCACCGAACTCTTTCGTGATTTATCTCTAGCATGTCTTTTATATGCCGTACATGTAATTTTTTTATACACCGGAGCATTATCTAGCTGCTAATCGAGTTTATTTTTACTTTCGCAACTATGTATTGACTCATTTTTTTATATCTGACAACTTCACGCTCACGTCTGTTAGCCACAATTCAAATCATAATGAGATTTCGTACGATTTCAGCGATTAACAAGACACATGAATAATGAGCTCAGTGTATATTCGCAACAAGTTCCTGACTTTATTAATTGTTTGGACTGTGACAACGTCAATTCAAGCTGAATATTCTCCGAAATCCGATGTTGAAGACGTACCAGGTAAGATCGTAATACAAATACACTAATTTTATACGATACTTCTACGATTTTTATTTTAGGCTTGATTTTTCCAATTGCACCTAATTCGATATGTATGCGTCGTCCTTATTACCAATGCAAGTGGACTTATGAGAAATCTTGCAGTTGCAATCCCGTCAAACCGAAAAAACTGAAGTAAATAATTTTTTAAATCTCGATGTTATTTTTCAAAATAATATATAACTTAGGTTTTCAATATTTGAATCCAGGAGACGAATAGACGTCACATACATACGGAAAAAATTGAAGAAAAAGCACATCGCACCTAAGGATCAAGAATCATATGAATGTTTAAGAGATCGATGTATCCAGATGTATTGAACAAACAAATGGAACCGCGTGAAATACATTTATACAGTTTCTAGTCACATGCAATGCAGCCAACTCACTCGCACGAATGCTTTAAGATCATAATCATATTTTCTCTCACGCCTATCAGTATTTTTATTATTTAGTTTAAAATAAGTCATGTAATTGTGATATTATGTGTAACATGACTTTAAATACGTCATTATGTCATTGTTGTTCAAGTTTTGTAGTATAAACCAAACTAGCATTATTATAACATACAAGCTTTTTATATGTTAATCTAATAAAGCTTATATATTTTTTGAAAAATAACTCACTGAATTAAAAGATCATCTTTGCATTAACTGTAAGAGCTAATCTACCAGTGAAAAGAAACAACAAGCTTTCACTGAGCGTCATAACGAACAGTGCAGATTAAAATCCACACCAAGTCAATAGTACACTCGGTCATATTTATTCATCGTCATTCGAAAGTTCCAATGACAATGTATTGGTAATTTGAAAATATCAAATTAGAATAAAAATTGATGACCACGTTTGTTTTAAACACAATTATGAATGATCATCAAACTAAGCCCTTTATCAATTCACAAGAAACTCTTTATTCCTAGTAGAAGATCGATTAGCAAACGAGTAATGTTCAGTCGTCATCGAAAATTAAACATTGAATACTTGGTGTTTTCGCGCGTAGTGCGCCTAATCTGGAGCACCAATGAAGGAAAACGACAAACTTCTGCGTGGTGAGGCGCACAAGCGGCCAAAAAGTTGGGATGATAAACTCATAGTAAAACATAACGAAGGCCCTCTGGCAAAGTTCACCCGATAATGGCGTCGACATCAGACCAATTTGGTATCTCTCCTCTCGCATCATTATGCGCGCCTTGGCTTGCATATTACCCTGACAATGGTTACACGCAGAGATAAAACTTCTCTTTTTTCGAATAATAATAAGGGTTGACTGATTTATTTTCTTCGGAAGAATTATATATTGTTTATCTTTCAGATATATCGTTAGTTTTAGAATATTCTGTAACTGAAAACAAAAGACTTACTTAATCCTCGCGCAAGTAACTGCACAAGCATCAATTGTTCTTTCAAAATTTGTTAAACTGTGCAATACCTGTAAAGTTTTAATTGTTCTCGAACATTGTTAGCGCAAGAAGTGTGGCGCTTGCAATTTTCAGTAGTTTACTTAACGAAGCTAATTTAACGTTAGAATCTTTTGCACAGAGAATAAAATATGTACACAGGCCGTAAATGTTGCCTTTTAAAAAAGTTTTTATTGTCGAGTTTAATTGTTTTCAGTTTATACGATGATCATTTACTTCTTCAATTAGTATCATTTTCTATAAAACAAAGTTCTTATTCGATATGCAACTGACTAGCGTTTATTATTTATTGCAATTATAGTACTGTTCCAATGTTTTTTTCGTAGAAGAAAAACCAAGTGTTAAAGAACGTCAAATACTGTAAGGAATTTAAAAAATTGTAAACGTTTTTTCAACTTTGTTTATCTTACTAGGATTATAAAAATATGAAGCCTACGAATTCGCTTTCTGATAACTTTCAGTCTTATTGCAAGAGTAAGCGCTGACGGTTGATGAATTCAATGAAGTCGTTGAATTTCTTTTTCACGATGACAAAATCAATCATGAAATAGATCATATTTTATAACCGCACATTGCAACACACATAAATACTTCACGTGTTTTTTCAGATAAATTTTGCAAGAATTCCAGTTTACTATTATTTTTGTTGGAAACTGATCGAACAACCGCGCGTGTACGTATGTGTATTTAGATAATAAATCCTATCCATCAATACACACAAAGGAATTGAAACGAGCACGTTCGTGTGCTTTACTACTTGTGTGTGGAATTTAAGCTTCCCTCCCTTTCCTTACACACTTCTTTTCCTTTATTTTTCGACGGCACCTGAAACGCACATTGTTTCGAGTCGTAAAATCGGCGCGTACCCGGAGACTTTTGTAATTCCGCTTTACGTAAGTACCCTTATAAAATAAAAAAAAGAGAGAAAGGAAAGGGGAGGGGAGAAGGACGAGGTACGCGAGCTTTAACAGCGAGACGACAGTCACATTTAGTCCAAAATAGAATGCAATTTGAAAGGATCCGATAAAAGTCGGTCGTTGATCTCCTGTATGTGTGTGCATTGCGAGAAAAGGATTATTAATGTCTGCGAAAATATGGATGTCGTAAAAGCCGTGTTGGCGTTGTGTGTTTGTGTATTTTACGATTTCGCATAGCTAATGTTCATTGTGTTTTTACTGACATTCGCGCTCGCGCGCGTGACTTTTTACGCTTTCGAACTTTGGGGTTTGCCAAAGTCTGTGCGCAGTGATTTCCTCTTGGCTTCTTTACTATTTCCAGGTTATAAGGAAGAGGTTTTTTGGGATTCGTGCGCAAATTGTATGAGATTTCTGATTGGTTTTCTAGAAATAGGATGACGCAATATGAAAAATGTAGAAATGACTATTTATGTAATGAACAATAACTTAGAGTGTACGAAAAGAATTTTGTTTTTATGGAGATCTCTTTAGAGGCATAATGGTAGAAATAAACTTATCCGATAAAATACTTATATATTTGAGGCGAGAAACGTACATGGAAGTAGAATTGTCCTGAAATATTCGTAATTGCATACATTTATGTAACTTAAACTGAAAGAAAAAAATTTATCGTAGAAAGTGGAATTCCCGTAAAATACGACAAAACATTAACAGCACATCATTCTTTATGAAAAAAAGAAATGTTTGGATATGATTAAGGTACATTATCGGTGATTATGGAAAATGTTTCGTTGAACGCTTATGCCAATGTAACGATTGATGTGAAATATTTACAAACGTTCGCGGGAAAATTGTCGCGTGAATCATACAGTAGATCTGACAGAAGTAATAAAATGCAGCAGAGCAGCAATGGAAAAAGCAAAATTCATCAGGATTGGCATTACAATAGCCCACTTTAAAAGTCGAGCGAAGAAATCGTCGCGAGCGGATGGACAGCGAAAAGGAAAAAATATATAAACCAAGTCGAAAGGGAAAATATCAGCTCGATTCCACTCTCCTCTTACAGCATATCTTCGACTAGAACGAAACGGAATTCACATTGCAACGGTATTGTCCGTGTGTACATATCTTTTGAAAATTTCCCGATGGAAGTGAGGATTTACGAAGGGGAAAACGGCTTCTCTTCTCTTTCTCGCGCGCAGAGAGAATTTTATTGGTAGCTGGCTTACAAATTGCTGCAAGATAGTAGAAGGCGCACGTTCGCGAAATTAGAGTAAGCCACCGGTTCGAAGTCACGTGCTGCTGTATTTAGAGGCGCGAAAGACGAGAGTCTAACGATCAATTCCCTTCTGAGCCTTAACTTTCAAGTTAGTAGCACGTAAGTGAGATTAAACCTGCCTGTTTTTTATATATGGGGCTCCGAAACGTTCGCTTTTAACGAAGCGTTCCAAGTGAAATAAATTGAATTTTGTACTTAAAATTTATGCTGTCGATAACTATTCTGAAAATAATAGAAGATGTATGCATGGTATATTCAAATTGAGCGATAACATCATTGAAATTTTAAATACATATAGTTTCTAACTACCCCTCTCCTCTAGTATTGAAGCGGTTACTGAGTAATTTAACATTTTACTTAGAGTTTTAAGTGTTAAAATTAATTTATGCTTATACTTAGCGAATTTCTCTATTGCTCGAAGAAGGAAAGTGTATTTGTTCGCGAAAAAAAAAATTCAGATAATCGTTTCTGAAGAAGAATGACCAGTCCATTTTTTGCGATGTGAATCGGTGAAGTGAAAAGTGAATCACTTGGAATAGAAAAGGGAGTGAGGATCGTATTTGATTGACCTCAAAAAAGAGACATTATGAATTAATATTGATCAATGAGTTATGGGAAGTAATTAAGTATCAGCTCGAAAATATCTCTGACTTTCTCAAATGGAAGTGTTGTATATTATTTAAAGATGTTGCTTCGCTTGTTTTGATGAATGTATTCTTCCTCGTGATGATCTAGTTCATTATAAATTGTTGATGAGTCATACTGTATTACGTATTTGCCTTTTCGTTCGTACATAAAAAAGTGACGTTTCACTTGTGGTCTTTTCACATAACGTTTGTGTCATAAAATTTCAATATTTCACCTTTCAATGATCAACGAACAAAAGCTATTACTAGTAGATCTTTCAAATATTCAATTCAAACTTTTAAAAAATCCAGAAACTATTTTTCATTATCTAAATCTCACAATAGCAAACATTAATGATATCAATGTAGGAAATGGAAAGTAAACGAGAAAAGCAAAGTGTCCTTAGGTCAGTTAGACGTGAGGAGGTGACCTGGTGAGAGAATAGGAAAGTTGCAGTGGCGGCGCACCTGCGCGCATTCCAATCTACCGTGACCCTAAAACTTTTATGTCTTCCCTCGCCTTGACCATGGTAAATATAAATTTTTGCTTTCGCCACCGCACAGCTGTAGTCGTGATTTTGTTACTATGTATACGTATATACACGAACGAAAACGCCAAAGATTAGATGAAGATGCGCCGATATTTCTTCCTATTCAATTGTTCACATTGACTTTATCGAGGTTTTTCGAAGTTGATATCTCGTAAATAGTATGAATTCTTCAATGAATTACCAAAGGAATGATTGATTTCATATAAAACTTGCTAATGAATCCTGATTTCCTCAATTAAAAAAATTTCACTTTGTTCAATTGAACTGAGTTTGAACGTGAAAATACGTATGCACTAGAAAATTAAAGAATAACCTATAAATAGAAATACTTTCTTAGTTAATCCATCATCTATCAATAAAATAAATGGCATTTTTTCTTTGACATTAAAATAAGATGAATAACGCCAAAGCAAAATTTCTATCAAGTTGTCATCAATAACCTATAACAATCATACAATTTTAGCTTATAGGAACAAAAGAGCCTATACACACAAATAAAACTTTCACTTTTAAGAACTGATCACCAATGTGATCGAGAAAATGTTCGTTGTCTGAGCCTAGAGTAGTGTACAAATTAGATTTTGTATCTTGTATATACCTTTCCTGTTCTTTGATCGGTTCGATATGGAAGTGTATTGATATTGATGATCGTATTGTGTTTCGATAGCAAATATACAGCCATACGATAAATGTTCAATTACTTTGGAAACTAATGTAGCCGTATTACTAATTGTAACACATAAACAAATCTTTGAGTACGTCTCGTCACATACTTAAAACTTTATAAGATATTACGAGAAAAAGTTGTTTTAAGTAAAATATAATGGACCACTGTTAAAAAACAAAGAAATATCTATATGTCGTGAGGTTAATTATTATTGTCATGTAAGT